CGTTTTAACACAGTTTTGTTTAGTTTTATATGAAAACTAACAATACCTTTTCCCAATAAAAGTCGTACTGGACCGAACTCCTCAAAATACTGATTCAGTAATAGTTTCTTGTTGCTAGGTAAACCATCACCGTCAGTAACATGGTGGAAAGACAACATTTTGTTGGATGACAGGTATGAAACGACCTCTAGAGGCACAGTTCAGAATCGGCTAGATATTCCTGCACTGAAAAGATATCACTTGATGTCTACATTAATATGTCAAGCTTCTAATAACAACATGTCTCTCCCTCTGTCGTCTTCCATCACGTTAAACATGAATTGTGAGTATAACTTATTTTGATTTTGGTAACATAAAATTAAGGTGAAACGAGACGAAAATCAAGCGATCTTACATTACTACCTTTTGATAAGAGAAGTTTTTATTGATTTAAAAATATATTTGAGGTTGTTTTCTAAGATCCCCTAGTGGCTCGGTGGTAAACCTTAGTGGTTATAACGCAGAATTCAGGGGGTTGGTTTGATTTCTGCGATATGCACAGTGCATATAGCCTCTTGTGCAACTTTGCTAAAACGAAACAAGTGTTCCTAATAGGCACGCTTCTTGTCGAACAAGTACCTACAACCAATATCTATCAATATCTATTATTTTTCTTACCTTAGAAACATCATTCGCAAATCAAGTACTTAAAGAAATGAAAATACTCTCAATAAAGACTCGTACTATAGAACAGGGGCTTGGAAACAATCATCTCTAAAAGTATTTAATTTGAAATAGAATGCTAAGAAAAATATAACGTACAAAGTCGGCAACTATGAAATATTTTTTTTAAACTATTTGGAGACACATGCTTGAAATGAATGCATTTATCTAACTTACTTTATTTATAAATTTAACCTTTAAATACAATAATTGATGCTGTGATTTCCTAATAAACATGTTTTCTGTTTTCATGATGTAAGAGAGAAGTAGAAGTAGTATACTTCAATTGAGATGTTATTATGCATCTTTCTATTTAAAAAACGTATTTACATACAAATTATCTAATTAAAAAGAGTAAGTAGTAGCTATTTACCAAGAAGTATTTTCCTTTAAGTATTATTTACAATACTGAAAAGATCACTTACTGTGAATTAAGATTCTGACGATAAAGGGAACATTAAAATTACATGGAGTACCTGAATTAACTGGTAGAATTAGACAAGTTGAGAAAAAAACAACAACATCAATATATATATTTTATAATTTGAATTTAAAGTTAAAAGGACAAGAATAATGAAGGTAAGAAATGATCGCGAACAACTTGAGTTGAGAAGAAGAGGCAGATATGATGGTAAAAGAAATATCAGAGCTGCTTGGGATAATATAATTGAAAAGTGGAGGTAACTATTGATGATAAAGATAATATAGGAGTTATTTGGGATAATAAAACAGAGAAGTAGAGGTAAATATTGAAGGTAAAGGTAATATCAGAGTTACTTCGGATATTAGAACTAAGAAATAGAGGTAAATATTGATGGTAAAGGTAATATCGGAGTAACTTGGGATAATAAAACTGGGAAGTAGAGGTGAATGTTGATGATAAAGAAAGTATCAGAGCTATATTAGATAACAGAACAGAGAAGTAGAAGTTAATATTGATGATAAAGGTAATATCAGAGTTACTTTGAATATTAGAACTGAGAAATAGAGGTAAATATTGATGGTAAAAGTAATATCAGAGTTACTTGGGGTAATAGAACTGAGAAGTAGAGGTAAATGTTGATGATAAAGAAAGTATCAGAGCTATATTAGATAATAGAACTGATAGAGAGAAATAGAAAGGTTGTGAGGATAAAAGAAATATCACACGTCGAAAGGTGGTAAGAATAAGGAAAGCATGAAGAAAAACATAGAATACTTAACCCAAGATCAGTGGAATCATAAAAATGGCAAGGAAAACAAGAAACTTTGAAACTGCAAAGAAAGAATAGTTTGAAAGATATAAGCAAGAAATGTTCAGAATAATGGAAGCATCAAAAAGTAAGTCAGATAAGAAAACTAATCAGTAAACCATATTTTTTAACAGTAACTTTTAATATATATTCACAGTTATAAATAATGAATTTCGAAGGGGTATGTAAATATTCTTTGTTTACGTATCGAAAACTCAGTTAAAGTGACTTGCACGTATTACATAATACTCGGTGGAGTAACTCATTTATATTGTAGTGTCAAAGAAAAGAACGCTCGTGCGAACATCAATTGGCGAGTACAATATAGTTCTTACACTATTTCTAGTTAGACCCCTCACAGTAACAATAGTGGAGAAAAGACTGCCACTATCCTCGGGAAAAATGGTTCAACTCGAATGTCGCACTAATGGGTCTCGTCCTCCAGCGGAAATAACTTGGTGGAAAGGTTCGACACAGTTGAGATCCACCAAAAACCGGACTAATAAAGATGAAACTTTGACTTCAAGCTTTCTGACAATCCGGCCCTCTAGGGAAGACGCCGGAAAATATCTATCTTGCAAAGCAGAAAATCCGAACATGCCGAATAGTGCCATAGAAGACGGCTGGGTGCTTGAAGTTTATTGTAAGTGCAAATTTCTTAGTTCCTATTAATACGAATTGTAAGACAGCCCATTAAACAAATATACCCGCAAAACTACTTAACATCAGATGTACAGCTATTTCGGACAAATCTCACGAACGTATGAACGAAAACAGATATTGGTAATTTGGGTTTGAAAGTTTTCTTGTAGTCTGTTTTTATTCATCTTAACAGGTAAAAAAAGGAAGCAAATTGAACTTTAACATTGAACATTAACGTGTCGTGTAGAACCTGCTTCTGTGTATCAAGGAACCAACAAAACTACTTTACTCACTCATAAACGGTATTATGGTTCGAATTCTCTATTAGTTTTAAGAATTTTTATAGATCATCAAATCTGCATTTTCATCTAGTCCCACGTGAGCTATGGTGAGTAGATTTCACTAGTTGCAGTGTAAATAATAGACGTTATTGGTTAAGACAGTGCTTTTTAACACTACAAGTTATTCATTAGGACAGTGCTTTTTCTAAAAGTTATTAAAGATAATTTGAAGAAAAACTTCTATAATATACCATTCTCTTTTCTACAGCAGCAAACAAAGACTGTTTTTATCACATTAGGATTTACTGAGATATGGTTAGTCTTATTCTTACAACTTCACAGTAAATTAGTGGCAAACGTATATAGCAACAAATTTAACTAATGAAAAACATAAATGCAAACAAATTAAATAATCATAACAATATATAATAAAAAGTTCAATTATTAACAAACGTATATAGTCAGAAGTTACACTATTCACCACATGGTAGACAAATAAAAACAGATAAAAGTACAAATTAGACTAATGACAGACAAATATAGCCACAATTTAGACTAACGACAGACAAGTTCAGCCACAAACTAACGAAAAATAGATACAACCACAAGCTGGACTAATGACAGACAGATGCTTCCCAAAGTTAAGCTAATTAAAAATAGATACAAGTTAGACTAGCGGCAGACAAATATATCCACAATTTAGACTAACAACAGACAAATATATCCATAAGTTAAACTAATGACAGACAGATGCTTCCCAAAGTTAGGCTAACGAAAAATAAAATACAAATACAAGTTAGATTAATGACAGACAAATAGAGCCACAAGTTAGACTAACGACAGACAGTTAGAACCGTAAGTTTCACTAATGACAGATAGATACCACCACAAATTAAACTAATGTTATTCTTTCTTCCCTTTTGTCTGATCGGGAAGTGAAGCTGTAAGCGGGATATATTAGTTAAGCACTTTGCATTACAGTAATTTGACTTCATAGAAGATATGTGATATACGACATCATGACGAAATGGAGAATAAATTGTGTCTTGTATGAGGTGACCAATACATTTGTTTTCTATCCTTCATATCATGAATATTAACGTATTGTATTGGGTATGTTTTTGAACTTTGTTACCACGAGTTTATATTGCAGAAAGATCAACAAAATTTCAAGGGTTCTTATGATATTTTTGCTCTTTTGGTTGTTACCTATGTACGTGACTTTCTCTGAGTATATCGACTCTGAATCACAAGCTAGGAAACGAAATGTTGCACAATGAAAAAGTTACGTGGAAGGGGATGTTTTTAAATATAACATGCTATTTCTGATAGTGATGGTTTATTTCCTGAGTATGAATTATTGATTTAATTCCAGAAAACCTCGCCGTGGCCGGGGGAAAGATCACTCTACCTTGTAACATTACCCCTTCCATCATGGACGACATGTTTGAGTTGGTGTTATGGTATAAGGATGATTCTCCTAAGCCTATTTATAGCCTAGATGGCAGGACTGGAAGTGTGGGCCAGGCACGCCACGCGTCCTCTGACTTTCTGACTGGGAGGGCCTATTTTAGTACAGTGGACAGACCTGCTGTCCTAGTCCTTGATCCTGTCATATCCACTGACGAGGGAAGTTACCGATGCCGAGTGGATTTTCATAAAGAACGCACGCGACATTTTGAGGCGTACGTCATGGTTATAGGTAAGCAGAAAACGGTTTAATTATATACTTAACTTTTCTCGTTAGCTAGGGGACGTAAGTTTTAGATAACCTAAATAAATTTAAAATTTTCTTTTTTTTTATTAGTTAAATTCACACTTTATTGTTATTTTCAATCATGGATATTATAATGCAAAACGTTACGTTAACTAATCGTATAAGCTTATTCTGGTAACATTTGCCATGTGAATATCTGGAATGTTGATAACGTCTAATTTGGTGTTTCAGTGCCTCCTCAGAAAATTGTGATAAAAAACCAGAGAGGTGAAGTGTTACAAAACGTGATTGGCCCGTTGAACGAAGGCGAGTCTTTCACATTGATATGTGAAGTACACGGAGGTAAGTTAGTACCACGACCAGGTTTGAGAATAGATGGTAGACATTGGTATGTTCGGTAATGAAGTGTTCCTAGACATGAAATTTTCCAGCTGACTTCATCTTCTGACTGATCTTATTTTAAAGGGACCCACTACAACAACAATTTATACTAATGGAAGACAGATATTCCCATAACTTAAACTAAGGACAAACAAATATAACAATAACTTAAACTAAGGACAAACAGATATAGTCATAACTTAAACGAAGGACAAACAGATATAACCATAACTTAAACTAAGGACAAACAGATATAACCATAACTTAGACTTAGGACAAACAAATATAACCATCGTTCGAATAGCCACAATTCATTTACGCAAGGATTTGCTAACATGTACAGTGAAAAGGTATCTTTAACTTAGGAAAGTAGTGGAGGATCTGGTTATTTCTTAAGTAGTGGAGGGCCCGCTCATTCTCCTATGAAGATAACTTGGGTAGAGAACAATTGCTCACTCTCATATCAAGATAACTTGGGTAGAGAACAATCGCTCATTCTCTTATGAAGATAACTTGGGTAGAGGACAATCGCTCACTTTCTCGAAAAGATAATTTTAAACGAGACCAATCTCTCACTCTCACAATATATATATATTGGCCAATAATGTGTTGAAATGATCAGATACTTACACAAGCCTCAAGGTGATACATTGTTTTATACTGTTTGTTTGTTTTTGTTTAATGAGAAATATTTTATCGGATTTAAATAGATATTCTAATGGAAGATCATTTCATTACTCACTAAATTAAAACAAAATTACGATTTCTAATTTTCACATTCATAAGTTATACAATCTTCACAGTTTTAATCATCGGGTATATTCAAATGTTTTGAATTTCTATCATTATTACGGACTTATCACAATAATAGAACTTTTACAAGCATTTTGATCTCATCCTATGACCAGGGCATTTGCAAGCATTCTGGTTTTATCTTACAAGCTGTGCTTCTGTCAATCCTCTTCTGTCATTCAGCGACTGGGCTTCTGAAAATAGTTCTTTCTTATGACATGGCCAAGGTTAAAAGATTTCGGTCTCGTGAAACAAGATGGTCGTCTTATAATTATATAGCACATTTTTCACATGTCACACAAGTTGTTCGCCTTCTAGCTCTTCGTTAACATACCATAAGCTGTCCATTTTGTAAACATAAAACTTCATTAAAATCTTGGTAATTATGTGAACAGCACGCCCTTCTCACCAAACAAGTTAGTCATCTTGTAACACTTCATGTATCATTACACGAGTTGATCATCATGTAGCACTCCATTACCATCACAAAAGTTGGTCATCTTATAGTGATCCATTATCATCACAAGAGTGGCTCATCTTATAGCATTCTATTATCATCACAAGAGTTGCCCATCTTGTAGCACTCCATTAGTCTGTAAAGAATTGATCATCCTATAGTTCTCCGTTATTATCACAAAAGTTGGTCATCTTATAGTGATTCATTATCATCACAAAAGTGGCTCATCTTATAGCATTCTATTATCATCACAAGGGTTGCCCATCTTGTAGTACTCCATTACTCTGAAAAGAATTGATCATCCTTTAGTTCTCCTTTATCATCACACGAGTTGATAATCTTTAAGCACTCCATTATAATCAGAAGAGTTTGTCGTTTTGTAGCAATCAGTTATCATCATAAGAATTGGTCATCTTGTAACGCTCTTTTCTCATTACATGAGTAGGTCATCTTGTAGCACTCTATTATCATTAGAAGAGTTGATCATCTTATAGCTCTCCATTCTGGTTACACGAGTTGATCATCTTGTAGCTTTCCTTTATCATCACAAGAGTAGGTCATCTTGTAGTACTCTACTATCACCACAAGAGTAGGTCATCTGTAGCACTCTATTATCGTTACACGAGTTGATCATCTTGTAACACTCAGTTACCATCGTACGAGTTGGTCATCTTGTAGCACTCTATTATCGTTACAAGAGTTGGTCATCTTGTAGCACTCTATTATCGTTACAAGAGTTGATCATCTTGTAGCTCTCCATTCTGGTTACACGAGTTGATCATCTTGTAGCTTTCCTTTATCATCACAAGAGTAGGTCATCTGTAGCACTCTATTATCGTTACAAGAGTTGATCATCTTGTAGCACTCAGTTACCATCGTACGAGTTGGTCATCTTGTAGCACTCTATTTTCATCACATGAGTAAGTGACTTCTAGCTCTCCACTACTTACCACATATCCAAATTGTTCTCTACCCAAGTTATCTTCATAGGAGAATGAGCGATTGTTCTCTACCCAAGTTATCTTCATAGGAGAATGAGCGATTGTTCTCTACCCAAGTTATCTTCATAGGGGAATGAGCGATTGTTCTCTACCCAAGTTATCTTCATAGGGGAATGAGCGATTGTTCTCTACCCAAGTTATCTTCATATGAGAGTGAGCAATTGTCCTCTACCCAAGTTATCTTCATAGGAGAATGAGCGATTGTTCTCTACCCAAGTTATCTTCATAGGAGAATGAGCAATTGTCCTCTACCCAAGTTATCTTCATATGAGAGTGAGCAATTGTTCTCTACCCAAGTTATTTTCATAGGAGAATGAGCGATTGTCCTCTACTCAAGTTATCTTCATAGGAGAATGAGCGATTGTCCTCTACCCAAGTTATCTTCATAAGAGAATGAGCGATTGTTCTCTACTCAAGTTATCTTCCTAGGAGAATGAGCGATTGTCCTCGTCTAAATTATCTTCGTTCTTACAAAATATCAATTCAATTCAAGAAGTTTTCTGATTTTAATCCGACCGTCACGAGAATAACTTTTTCAAATATTGTTCTTATAATATTGGTATTGTAGACAATTCTAAGGCAAAATAATTATAAAAAGCTTAAATATTTCTATATACTTTATTCATCAAAGAATAAATCATAATGTGTATAAAGAACGATACTAATGATGTAAAAACGCCGGTACGCATATTCACTGTTTCTTTGATACTCAGCCTGGAATGACTACAAAAGTCACAAACAGTAACGACTCTTTGAAGTCCATGTCTAAGTTTGCGATTATTGGATAAGATATTCCTCATTTTTCACAAGGATTTTATTAATGTAATAACGTTTTCTTTATCTTATTAAAGCGTATAATCTCAAGAAAAAATAAGTTCAAAACGTCTTTTTTAATTTTGATTATGTATAGATTGGAAGTTAAGAATCGTCGATCATTCGAGAAAATTACATATACCTCTGTAGCAATTCTCTTAAAATAAGAATTGGCTTATTACTTTTGAAACTTATCAATCACACAACGAAAAAACACGGTTATTAAAAATAACATTGTGACGTTACAAAGCTATAATTAAACTAACTATGAAGATTCTGTTTGTTTGTTTTAGAGCTAAGCCAGACTGAGCTATTTGCTGTGTCTAAAGCTGGGAATCGAACCCCGGATTTTAGCATTGCAAGTCTTTAATCTTAGTGCTGTCCCATTAGGAGACAACTATGAAAATGTGAGTGCTTCATCATCTAAAATCTATATTATATTAGATTTAAAAGATCTGAATTCGATAACCTTTAAACGTTAATGAAAATATTTTAGTTATTCTTTCTTATAAGCCCCCTCCCCGATAGTTCAGCGGTAAGTTTGAGGGCTTATAACGACAAAATTCAGGATTCAATCCTTGTAGTGAGTACATAGCCTATTTAAAACAAACAAACCAATCTTATGAGGTTTCGTTTGAAAAGGTCGAAATAATAACAGAACTAAGAGTTCACATTTATCTATGTCTGCAGAGGTTTAAGCTAGATAAGTGAGCGTTAGTTCTGGATTAAGTAGCAACTTCTCTTGAGATATCATCAGTAGCACGAGTTGTTGCAAAAACCTCTAACCTTAACGCTAGAGAATATTTTAATATATCTTTTATTCTATTAGGAAGTTGCTGAATATTAGAAATATCCAGGCAGTTGGATGTAAGAGGCTACTTCAGTGGCTCAGCGGTAAGCTGGAGGGCTTACAACACCAAAGTTCAGAGTTCGAGAATTTCATTAAGCACAGCTCAGATATTTCATTGCGTAGCATTGTGTTAAAACGATAATTCCTTTTAGGTTAATAAGCATATCAACGGTAGTTTTTAACTTGATCTAGTTCCCAGTTCAACTAATCGTGTGTTCCTAAAGTTAGGATATCCTCATGAGGATAGTCAGTTTTATTAAGTACAAGTTTAAAGGAAACTTTTCTTCGTGTTCCAATTTACGTATTCATTTATTATACGAAATAAAACTAAAAACGTGCACTTGTAATCGCTATAAATATGGCACGTGTAAATAAATGACACGAGAAAAAAACTCACAGCTCGAAATTGCTTAAAAGATTTTCCTTCCATTACCTGTGACTACTTAAAAGTAACTAAATGTTCAGTTGCGAGAATCAACACAATTAAGACTTAGTGAAATACTGCAAAGGTTACATACCAGAATATGTTCGTTTGCTGAAAACATGAGAAAACAGGATGTGTTACTATGAAAATGTTACACACCCTAATACGTTCGTTTGTTGAAAACAAGAGAAAAAAGGATGTGATAAAACTGTAAAGGTTACACACCAGAATATGTTCGTTTGCTGAAAACATGAGAAAACAAGATGTGATAAAACTGTAAAGGTTACACACCAGAATATGTTCGTTTGCTGAAAACATGAGAAAACAGGATGTGATAAAACTGTAAAGGTTACACACCAGAATATGTTCGTTTGCTGAAAACATGAGAAAACAGGATGTGATAAAACTG